GAAATTTATTCAAAGAGGCTTCGAATTTTTAGAACCAAGACCGGGCTATGCCGCCAAGGCTCACTTTCGATTGATGATGCCTCCTTTGGCGGAAATACCGGCAGGAGTTGCGGCAGCGAGAACAGCGATAGAAGGAATGGTTCGTAATTTTGCTCGTAATGTCGGCTATTCGGTAGTCAATCCCGAATCGCAGGATTTCCGATGAATCGGATGGACTTCACAAGACCAATGACACCCTTTCACGCTAAAACATAACCCGAGGGCCCTCGGTATCACATCTGCACTTCTCACAAGCTCTCCTTAGTGCGCCGAAAACATTTGGCGCGCAAAACCACTCAATTTGCGGCAACCCGAAATTCCGCGTAACGCAGGTTTTTTTTGTATAGTTCCAAAGCTAATATAATTTTCAGCAAAACCTAGTCCTTGGCAAACATCCAACTCCCGGGAAACTCGATGAGCTGCTGAGATGCGTAGTCGAAAAGTGGTGTACCGGCACGAATCCAGGTTTAGCTCTATGATTTACTAAAGCCGATCGTCTTCAGCCGAAACGATAAGCAAAAACGAGCAATTCGTGTGTTTGCTGCGGTGGATGCTTGAGAGAAACCCGGATCGAAGACCGCATGCTTCGCAATGTTTACAGGACCAGTATCTTGCGGTCGGTAACTTTGACGGTAGCTCAGATCTTCGTTGTTTTACGGGTTAATTTTAACCCATGAGTTGAAGGTTTTTTTCAGGAAGCTGCAAAAGAGAATTCGCAACTAACGACCACGATACCGGATGAGGCCAGGAATACTTTGCACGCGATTCTGAGACAAAGTTCGCAGAATGTTCACGTTCAGCCTAGAACATAATGATTCGTTACCACTGAGCTCTGTTGTGGTCGTCGGTACTTTGTTATATTTGCTGCTAGATTAATTAGTGTAGTAAAGATTTTCCACGAATTAATCCACGATAATGATAACGAATCATTATGTACTACGCCCGATCAAAATCACATTTTTTCAGAAACTTTTTTTTTTGCTTCTTTATATCATTTAACATGCTAAACAAAACCCAAAGCGTTTGTGTGGGAAACACAAATCCCACTGACTAATTTTTCTCTTATCGCCTCCGACTAGCAAATACCTATCGATTACATGGCGCGCAGGCCATTTTCCTGCAACTGAAAATGGCACCTCTTTTCACGGGCCAACAGAGGAGTTTTGCTCCCCACCTCTTGCTCATTCGTTTTGATACTTTTATTGTTATTTCTTGTATTTATCCAAATTTGAAAACAGAAAGATCCTTTAGAAAATGCAGCAAGCAGCGGCTGCTGACTCCAAAAGCCCGAAAATCGGAGAATGCTACGATTCGGACTCAAAAGAACCAAAGTTGTTCCGTATTGCGATTTCCGGGAAGTTTTTCCCGGACCTGGTACGATAATTATCCTTAGAGTTTCTCTTAAAGTTTCAGGTTTATTTTTTACCTTGATTTAGAATGACAGAAAATTTCGACCATCGAACCTAGACAAAAAATATTTCCATTTGATCGGCAAAGGGAGCCAGGCAAAAGTGATGTAAGCAAAAACGAACTTTTTACAAACAACGCTTTTAGCGCCGCGATCAAAGAAGACCCAGATAGAACACAAACCCCGGTCGCTTGTAAAAGGTAATTCTTGGCAAATCAAATGCATGCTTCAACAGATACGACTTTCCGAGTGATGGGCGCAGCGACGGTGAATTCAAGCACATCCTGAGGGAATTGCAAATAGCTCAATTCCTGCAGCACAAACATGCAAGTCTCAAGCAGAAAATTTAAGCTTAGGTTTGCAGATTGTGCGCCTATACGAATTTTTCTACGACGAGGATCAGAGCGGAAATCTCGAGCACATTTGGCTGGTGATGGAGCGGGCCAGTATGAGCTTGGCCAAGTTTTTTGACAGTCGAATGTAAGTAATTTTTCTCAGTAATCCATGTCTTGAAATTTTTAAAACGGCATAAATTGACGAGAAAGAGCTGAAAAATGGTCAGGTTTCCTGAACCTTCTGATATTTTCTAATCATTATTCTTTTTAATTTTCAAGCTCCGCCGTTCCGTTTTTGAATGACGCGCGTACATGGTTTTTGTGGTATTCCAGCGCGAAAACAGAACAAA